GTTTCCGCTGCGTATACGGGACCGTTTACTAACATATCCACTGCAAGAGGAAGCACTCTTGGAGGAAGAACAAGAAGGTAAAAACCCTACTATGCATTGGATCACAGAGTAAGGGAGGAAAGGTAAAGGAAGGATAAATAGTAGGAAGATATCCCACGGACAGTTAATCCGATCAAGGGGAAGCGAATGAGCTGGTGGAGAGAATGCCATGTTAGCTATTTCATCTGTTACCGCTCTTCCTGGAATAACCGATCGTACTGAATGCCTAAGCGATGTTCTTGTTCGAGAATCAACTGTGATGCAATTGAATCACCAAGCGCTAGTGCTCTTTGATCGAAGATTGCTGAAATTTCTTTTGAATCTGTCTGGCTGCTTTAAAAAGTCAGTTAGGCACGAATGGTATACCTCTCCTTATATTCAAAACTAGCTTAATCTAAAACTAGCCCTATCCTTTCCTTATCATCTGTAACTAGCTATCGTAGACTGAAAGCCTCGTAAACTAGATAAATAGGCTATCACAGAGGTAAGGAGGTCTAAGTCTATCGATTAATATGAATCTTTCTTCCCTCAAAATGAGCCGATCTAAGGCTAGTTCCTTAGTTTCAGGAAGTCGAGCGGGAGTGACTAGCGTTCCTTCAAAAGCCAGATGGGTGCCTTCACCTCTGTAATAACCTTTATCTCGAAGGAGATTATTAAGGCAAGGTTCTTTCTCGTTGACCATTAATTTTGTAAAAAAGGAGCGTAGCGGTGGGCTCGAAGAAGTAAGCCTTAAAGTCCTATTGTCGGAGAGGGGCTTTTCTTCCTATTCCATTATTTTATTTATCTTATTCCTGATCGGATTGAATAAGCTACTAATGTTTAAATCTTTTTCTTTGCTCTAAGTAATGCTAATTAAATCAATTTCATAGCCTACTCCTTACTTTGCTGGGGGCGATGCAAGGTGCGTAGCGGTCTCCCACGGGGCGGTAACTACCTCTAAGACGAGTGAAGAAAGAAGGGGGGAGAATTTCTTTTAACATCTTCATCCCAGAATTCATCATCTGCAAGCAACCCACTTCTATAAGAGCTATGACTTCAGCTTCTTTTTGGCTACCTTTTCTTTTATATGACTCTTACTATTGTTGCTAATAGATACCTGCTTGCTTCGTGCTTACTGGCAACCTTTATAAGATCTCCACCTTCAAGCTTTAGTACAAGCAGCTCTTTCAAAAAGGGGAATTTTGGTCCCTCCCTATCCGAGATGTGCTCTTTCAAGATCTCCCTTGACAGCGCAATTAGGTCTTAGAGAAGGAACTTATTTACCTAAGTAAGTAGCCAACTTTCGATAATCATTCCTTGCATTGCGCTAGATTCAGTATGGTGATACACATTTTTGAAATAACAAGGGCTTTAGCGGCTCTTCTTAAGAGAATGGCTGCTTTGGGGAGTTCTCTTTCCCTCTAACCTGTAACTCGAAATTTAATAAGAGAAGACAAAGCTATGCATTTACTCGTAGCACTTGTTAGGCCTTGAAAACAGTCGTTACGCCGGCACCAAATTAAGGCCGACCACTACATAGAGCGCCTAACGGATCGACAGGCAAGCAACTTTATTGAATTGAAGTGATCAGCTAGCTCCTCACATGAGTAAAACAACCTAACCTCAATCCCCAGTCGTACCAGGTGGCATGATGTTTTTTATAGACGCCCAGCCTATGATCGTAAAAGTGCGGTCACCATCAATCACGAGTTTGAGACAGTTGGATGTCTTAGTGGTGCCGCATGAGCTCCTTGTGGTGAACTCAGGTTGCTTCTGAGCAAGCTTTCCCCCAGGTTATGTCATACCCATATAAACAAGGTAAAAAGGGAAAGGAAACCCTCGGAGCTACTTAGCTACTTTTTGCAATGAATCCATCGAACTGAGAGAAGACGATCGTCTCCTCTCTTCTTACTCGATCTTCGACGGGATCGAATGCTTTCCTGGTTGAGGTTCAGTACATCTGCCAGTCATAGGGTTCTCAACTCGATTTTCTCTCTATATCCACCTTTAGCTTAGTTAGATTGAAGGCTTCCATTCTTGATGTACCTACGTTCCTTCTGATCTATCTACTGTAGGTTCAATCCCTAGTCATTCTATCTTTAGTGAGGGGATGAGTCATCTTGCTTGACATCATGGGATCGCACTTTCATTAACGGGCTGCTTACTCCGAAATGGGATATATAATTAACCCAAGCAAGACAAGGCAAATTGGGGTGCAGTGACCCGAAGATCGGTACTGATTTTCTTCCTTTCCTGGAAGTTGATCGATTGTGTCCTTCGTTCTGTCTTCTTTCTTTCATGCGGAAATTGGTCTTCCTTCCAAATTAGGGATGGACTTCGGGTTAGCTCTACTGTAGTCCTATTCCAAATCATCTTCTTCGGGCGAGGGAAAAGAGGTTGGAACTAATGCCCCTATCCTCCCAAACTAGTACTCATCAATAAATCTTATCCCTATATTTGTTGGTTGAACAGAATGCCAGCTTCGAAATGCCATGCCCTTACAATGCCAAATCCAAGACCTGGTTCACGCTTGAAAGCCAGAGCTAGTATTCTTCCCACTGACTGCTACTAATACGATAAGACGAACGAATACCTTATCCCTTTGATGCTGGAGGAGTGCGTGCGAGACTTCGTCTAATACCAGATCTTGTTGAAGCTCAGCCAGGACCTGAAAGAAATCCATAAACCAATGTTTCCCCCTCTCCAAACTCAAGCCATGATCCAGTTCCAAACAACATACCTGAGGTACGCCACTCCTCTCGTCTCTCTCGTCTCTCTCGTCCTATTCAAGGCTTTGTTTCATGCAATTCTTGATCTCCTTGTCATTATCTATATCTTGCTAGTCTCACTTCTTTATAAAAGAACCCGATTCCTTTTATGATTATGAAGCGTCCTCTCAATCATGTTGGAGAGAGACCATGGCTGAAGAGCTACAAGCTCTTGAAAGAAAGAAATCACACCTGGGAGTTGGTTTGGTTCCTTTACTTAAAAGGGTAAGCGATCGATTTGAAACAAGTAGTTGTACAAGGTAAAACGTAAAGCAGATGGCTCCTTTATTTATAGAGGTACAAACGGCTTGTAGCAAAAGGCTTTGCTCAAGAATATTAGATAGATTTTGAGGAAACCTTCAGTCCTGTTGTGAAGATGAACACGATTAGGACTTTACTAGCTATTTCTGTATCAAATAAATGGTCCCTATAATAGCTAGATGTGAAAAATTCCTTCCTACATGGAGAAAACAATAAGGAAGTCTTTTTTTGACTTTCACAGAGCTTTACTATTCCAGGCAATACTCATCTGGTATGCAAACTAAAGAAGACCTTGTATAGCTTAAAGCAAGCTCCAAGAGCTTGTGACAAGCTTAGTGGTGTCATCATAAATAAAAGCTGGTTTTCATAGAAGCATGGCGGATTATTCTCTGTTTTCGAAAAGGAGTACTCACGGAATTCTTTTTATTCTGGTATATGTTGATGACATCATTATTTACGGACATGATGAGGAAGAGATCAATCAACAAAGTCAAACAACTGTTGAAGAGTTGCTTTGACATGAAGGCATCTCCTAGTCCTAAAGTCTTTCCTGGGCATGGAGCCAGGTCCTTTTGTTTTCTAAAAATAGAATATCACTCAGCATAAGTATGCTCTTGACCCTTTGTCTCTAGCGGGTCTCACAGGTTCCAGACCAGCTTAAACTCCTCTAGAAATAAAAAAAAAAGCTGAAAGCAGAAGATGGACAAATTCTTCAAGATTCAAAAAATTATCGAAAATTAATGGGAAGCTTGCTTTGCTATATTTGATTCTATCTAGACCTTACATTGCTTACTCCATATTTCAGCCAATTCATGTAGCAGCCCAGACGTCCTCATCTAGATGCAGTGAGAAGAATTCAATTTTATGTAAAAGGATCACAAGGAAGAAGACTTTATATATTCATCAAAATTGGAAGTTAAAGTGCACAGTTTTTCTGATGCTGATTGGGCTGGATACAAGGATGATAAGGGAGCCACTGGTGTTTCACGATCAGTGTTGGAAATGAACGGAGAAGTGGTGGAACATGCAGAACCATATATTGGATCAATAAAGTGTGGCACGAAGCTGCTGACGACGAGTCGGCTCCTCTGTTGCTAGCTATGCCCTACTTGGTCCCTCGGCACGGTGGAGGTTCCGTAGCGCGTCATGAGCACCGGGCTAAGGGGCGGTTGAGCAACTCAAGCGAACTGCCCTACCTTACTACAACATAGGGACAGAAGGGAGAAGGTTGTGAAGGTGGCCTTGTTATCCATACCTTCGGTCGGATGAATGGAGGACCGACCGACCCGGGTTTTCATGAGCGTTGGCGGGTCCTGGAGTGCCTGTCAAGGGCGCTAGCGCATACCCCGGGGTGATCATCACCACCTACACCTCACATCTCAGCGTAGTGGAACGTGTAACCCACCTGCTGTCTCATTCAACTACATTTGTTCCTGTAATCTATAACCTAACAGAACGCAGTAGCAAGGGACAACCTGCCCATACAGTGAGCAGGGGGGATGGCACTACTGGCAAAGACCGTCTGGCGAAAACGCCGCAGGCGCGAAGCGTGGTAGGCCTGCGCCGGGGGAGCATAGCATAGGGAGGAAAGGGAGCCCAGACGGTGGAAGAGCCAGGGGAGGCCGGGTCATTTAACGGAAATGGAAGGCTTTTCCCCTATTATAAAAGGCCCTATGAAAGTGCATGAATTCATGGAAAAAGAGGGAGTGAGCCTATATCAAAAATGTCAAAAAGTCAATTTAATGAATAGATAGAGTCAACGGTACGACAGACAGCGCTGCCTACACGCGAATTAGCTTCCGAGGTCGAGCAGTCTCAATTTCACTACAGGATTTGTGAATGAATGCTGGGTTAGACCACCTTGAATGGTGTGAGCCACATGCGGGGAGACCCGAATGTATAGTTTTTAGGGGGATCTGGTCGAAAGGAAAGACTAGCTGGCGCCCACCCGACTAGAAGGACTGAGAAATTAATAGAGTACAAAACTTATCTTCAAGCTTTACCTTATTCTGATCGTTCAGAGGGCGATCGTGGAGTCACTGAATGAAGTCCTCTGTTTCTTTCGGAGGTGCTGACCCGCAGCGAGGCAGAGATGACTAAGTGACATATGAAATATGGCGACGACAACAGCATGTCGTAGAAAGAGATAACAGGTGGAGCCAACGACCCACTAAGACTAACGTATCTACAACTACATCCCCGAGCGGCAGTCAAACGGAGGCGTGAATGCAAGATGCCAGCGGAATGATTGATCGGACAGAGGCTAAGGCTGCTTCCTTCCCACCGTATCCTTCCTTGTGTGTTGGAGATATAAAGCGAGTGCACTGGAAAAGAATGGGAACTGGGTCGATCTATTCTATGGCGAAGCATCCGAAGCATAACTGCACACTCAGACGATCTTTGCCGAGAGATAGGAGCATTCGGTGGAACCGGTGAACTACACTTGCTTCTGGATAGATGTGTGGGACAGAGGGCTCGTGGTACCTACTACCCACCCTTCCTCCTCTGCTTTGAGAATCGTGTGAACGGAGAGTGGGTAGAAGGGAAGGAGGTCCTCATACGGAGTCGAACACTTACTTGAGCAGTGCGGGAGACTGGGGAATGGGTCGAGTAAACTCCCCTGGGGACGGAGAAAGAACAGACGAAGCTTTACTTAGATAGGGCTTTGATTGGTATTGATTTTTTCTTAGTGATTGGAAAGGAGGGCGCCTGGGGATGTTATAGAAAGGGAAGGCAGAGGTAGTACTTCGAATGGAGAAGAGAGGTGGCTCAGCAGGGAAGGAATGGGAAATCGTCAAGGATGACTTCTTTGTTTTGTTGGTGAAATGAAGGGCTAAATAGCTACCAGTGATTCTCTAAGCCGGTCTGGATTTCCAATGCCTCGAGAAACTGGTCAAGATAGATGACAGCGCCTTTTTCCTCTCTTCCTTGCCGGGAGGGCTCTCTTATTGCCTTTACCTCCCGCCCGGCCTGGATAAGACATTCTATAAGCATAGGCTTAGATAGGGTTTTAGTCCTTCTTTTAAGAAGCCGCTTAGCGCTTAGCTAGGCATAGCCACTTTAGGACAGCACTCTTATTGGTCAAACTGAGAAGGCTAGTATCGGTGTTGGAGTTCGAAGGTTCTTTCCTTTACTATAAGTAATATAAGATGCGGAAAGAAAGTTCCTAGAAGGTACTCTTCTCTTTTTCTTATACGATAATAGTAGACACGAGCGCCTAATACTAAGAAGCAGCGGTATCGCATCCTCGAGTGGTGAGCCCAAGCATTTTAGCATGGCAGAGCTTTCATTCCCTAGTTGGGTGGCCCGTGGGTTTACTTACTAGATCTCACCATGTGTCCTGTCGCATAATGTGTCGATATAGTTCTTAGTCCGGTGTCGCATACTTTAAAAAGAGAAACAATTATTGCAGGAGGATATTTCTAGTCATTTCTTACTAACTGGCAATCGTGCTTCTATATCATATGTCTTGGTATCACTAAAGGCTAATTCTTCACAACAAAGCTTTCTGACTCGATGAGATATTTTTAATTGATGAAGAAGATTTATAGCATCTTCCACTAATCTTTCTAGTTCTTTGTAGGAGGATTCACTCTTTTTAAGAATTCAACCTTGTGAAATTGATGCAAACGAATTTATCCTATTGAATGGCAGAAACGATACGGAGACATCATCCGCTTCAGCTACATCGACGATTTGAAAGCTGTTGTGTTGAAATCAAAAAGTGGTCTTTCAGAAGAGAGTTCATCCACTCAAAGATCTTCGGCAAGCTGCTATCTTGCTCATTAGCTAGATGCCTCAGAAACGAGAGGGGATAACCATTACTGTGATAGAACTTTTAGCTATGAATAGTAAGAGCCCTACAATAGCCTTTACTTCAAGCAAGAAAGATGAGTCACCTGGAAATGAAGTGAATGAGCCTTGGGTCGGAGTCAAACTAGAGCAATCTCAATGTGATCACTATCTCTATAGCGCTTTATTGTTTCGAAAGCAAATGTCCATGAAATGAAAAAGAAATGGATAGAGTAAGATTCAATACCAGCTGATTCCCTTATTGATTAACCTCCTTCAACGTCACGGATAAGATCCCAAGAGCTTCGTCTATACCAGTAGATAAAAGAGGATGCTTTTTGAGCTTAAACCGAAATAGGTGCAGCAGATAGAAAAAAAGAGGTCCTGACTTTCTTTTTCAATAACAAAGGAATGTAGTCTTACTCTTCAATCAAATGGGGAGGACCTGGTATGTCCTGGATGCCCTACCAGGGAATCCTGGGGAAGTTCTTTCAAAGTCTTAAGTATATGAATCTGCAAAAGGAAAGAAGTCCAACAAATACCAGTGGCATTTCCATTCTTCATTTTGACTCTCTTCGGGGCCTTCCTCGGCATTAAATTGCAAGAGAATTCGTACAGTGGGGCGAGAGAGAGAACAACTCGATCGACAATCTCTCTTTCTTTTCAATTTGGTATGCTGTGAGATCGAAGATATCGTTAGCAGTCCATGAGTGCTTTCTAGCCAACCCAATCAGTCCCAAAGATGGCAATCAGTATCAGACCATGACACCCTTTTTTCAAATTGGACAATGGAAAAAGCGAGATTTCGTTATGGGTCTATAGCTTGTTTCTAGGCTATTCAATCAATCGATTCAATCACAATACCGGACAAAGCGTACTCCTTGTTCAAAAGGGCGGGAGGTAGAGAATTCTGCTTATTCGCCTCCTACGTTAACAAACAATATGCCTTCCGGCTCTTCTAGTCTCATCCGGGGAATGCCCCTTCTCGGCCAACCTATCTATCGATTTTTCATAACTATAAATAGAAGTTAGGGTTACAAAGCCTGACGAAATGACTTCGAAAGTCTCCTACCAATGTCCTTCAAGTGATCCGGCAATAAAGGAATAGGCTTCATCCCCAATTCCAGCTAATCATCAGCTTTACACCTTTTCTACTTTCTTTTTTGCCAGTTTTATATAATAAGCTAGATTCCATTAATTCTTGGTAGGGAGCTTTCCAAGAAATACACTATCAATGGGCTGCTAGATAGAAGAAGATGGGCCCGATTTATCCTATTGAATACCCTAATCAACTCATTTTGGCCTACCTAATCAACTCATTTTGGCTTGTTCGCCAAAGCGAAGGTTTGAAATGGGCAGGATGGGCTCTCGGTCCACTAGGAAAGTCAACGGGCTTTCCCGAGTTAATGGTGAGGGCTATTGACTTGAGTAAAATAGTGGGAGCTTTGTTTAATAAAAGACCATATTAAACAACAATAATGAACATGGTAATAACGGTTACTTTTTCCTGCACTTGTAGATTCACTTAAATTTGAGCAAAATGATCCCAACATCATTGCGACAAATCATCAAACTAGGAAAGAAATGGAATGGTGAAAATTTTGTNGTAGGTACCAGAGGAGATCGCTATGATCGTTACTGTATCCGTATCGAAGAGATGCGACAAAGTGTTCGGATAATTGTGCAATGTCCTAATCAAATGCCTAATGGCATGATCAAAGCCGATGATCGTAAGCTATGTCCTCCATCACGATGTCGAATGAAACTATCCATGGAATCATGCGCCGTGTGAAACGTAGATCATCGCCGTTCTTAACCGAGACCTAGGTTAAGCTCCGTCTTGGAACCTTGTGGGGTTAGGAGTAAAGCATCCCGAGGTTGGTGCATCTCGTTGGGCGTGGAGAAGCATTGGGAACCCCAATTTCTTTCTTCGGAGCCGTTTCTTTTCCCGTCCCCCCCCCCCCCCCCCCCCCCCCCCCCCCGGCATAGCACTTCGCTTCCGGTTCTTCAGAAGAATCAACTGACTTCTCCCTTTTTCATTGATCTAGGGGGAAAAGGAATCGTCTACCAGTTGGGAAGCTAGATATCAAGTAAGTGGCTTGATGAGGATAACTAAGCTTGGTATGATTGGCATAGGATATGACTTGAAACATTTTTTCTTTCCTTTGACCGAAAGCAGCACTGATGGCATAGTCACTCGCATCACACATAATTTCAAAGGGGTTGTTCCAATTTGGTGCGACCACTATTGGTGATGTCACTAGCTTCTCTTTCAGCAAATTAAAGGCCTGCAAACACTCAGAATCAAAGTTAAATTTCATATCCTTGGCAAGAAGATTAGATAGAGGTTTTGCAATTTTTGAAAAATCCTTAATAAATCTTCTATAAAATCCCACATGTCCAAGGAAACTTCTGACTGCTCGAACCATCGTTTGGGGAGGTAATTTTTCAATCACTTCCACTTTTGCTTTATCAACCTCAATCCCTCGCTCAGAGATCTTGTGTCCAAGCACGATACCTTCTCGTACCATAAAATGACACTTCTCCCAATTCAGCACAAAATTTGATTCCTCACAACGCTGTAAAACTAACGCAAGATTTTGCAAACAAGATTCAAAGGTTAGTCCATACAACGTAAAATCATCAATGAAAATTTCCAGAAATTTTTCAGTCATGTCAAAGAAAATTGCCATCATGCAACGTTGGAAAGTAGCTGGCGCATTGCATAAACCAAATGGCATACGTCGATAAGCGAACATGCCATAAGGACAAGTAAATGTTGTTTTCTCTTGGTCCTCTGGAGCAATAGGAATTTGATAATAACCTGAATAGCCATCAAGAAAACAGTAAAATTTATTACCCGCTAATCTCTCTAACATATGATCAATAAATGGCAATGGGAAATGGTCTTTTCTAGTGGCAGAATTTAATCTTTTATAGTCTATACATACACGCCATCCAGTGACAATCCTAGTGGGGGACTAACCCAATTACTATCAGAGATAGGATAAATAATACCTGCATCGAGTAATTTTAACACTTCCTTTCGTACCACTTCTTGCATCGCAGGATTTAATCTCCTTTGCGGTTGTATTGTTGGCTTGAAATTCTCTTCCATGAGGATCTTATGCATGCAGATGGAAAGGCTTATTCCCTTGATATCAGCAATTGTCCATCCCATCGCTTTCTTGTACTTCCTCAAAATGTCTAGCAGTGACTTCTCCTCCAAATCTGTCAAAGATGCAGAAATAATCACAGAATAAGCATCTTTATCTAGAAAAGCATATTTTAAATGTGAAGGAAGAGGTTTAAGCTCAAGTTTAGGAGCCTCATTAGGGGTTTTATGCAAATCCTCCTTTAGCTCCATATTATTATCAGTCAGAGATTCTTTCTCTAACGCTTCAGCTTCTTCTATCAAGCAAGGGTCTTCATCTTCTGTTGTGATTGACTCAATTAGACATCTCTCCAAAGAGTCCTTCTGCAAAACTTCTTCTCTGTGATCACCTACAATCCCACCAAAACTGTCAGNTCGAATGAAACTATCCATGGAATCGTGCGCCGTGTGAAACGTAGATCATCGCCGTTCTTAACCGAGACCCAGGTTAAGCTCCGTCTCGGAACCTTGTGGGGTTAGGAGTAAAGCATCCCGAGGTTGGCGCATCTCGTTGGGCGTGGAGAAGCATTGGGAACCCCAATTTCTTTCTTCGGAGCCGTTTCTTTTCCCGTCCCCCCGCCCCGGCATAGCGCTTCGCTTCCGGTTCTTCGGAAGAATCAACTGACTTCTCCCTTTTTCATTGATCTGGGGGAGATTGAGTCTTTATGCATCAATTCTACGATATGTAAATGTTTGTATTTGTAGATGCAGGATCCATACATGCTCTAAACCCTTATTTGTTCATTTGGAGACGAGGATTCATTCCCCTTCCAAGATGATGACCCTCGCCTTTATCCACCCCTTCGTCACAAATTTTTATGTAGGACTCATAGTCCAATATTTCAGTACTTTTAGATCACTTTCTTTTTCATTTTCTTTCTTTCAGTTTTTTTTTTTTTAACTCTCCAGACTCTCATTTACTCAATAAACTCACCATTGAAACTGATTTACTTTTAGATTAAATCTTTCATTTATCTCATAATCAAATTTGAATTTAATTTAACTGGTGAGAAAAGTATTATTATTATTATTATTATTATTATTATTATTATTATTATTATTACACTTTTCTCATCAGTTAAATAAAAATTCAATTTAATCATGAAATAAAAAGAAATGGCTTGATATAATTATATCCGAACGGTTCTGATTTTATATATATATAAGAAATGAGGCTTCATATATTTAAGTAATTTTAATTAGTTTCATTGTTGAAGTTGTGAAGAATATTGTTAAAAAATATAGTAATGTTTAGGCATACAAACTATTTCCTACAAACTGGTGTGGCAACCATGTATGTTTCCAATATAATCTCCTTTATTTAATTAATTTATTTTTAATTTGAAGTCACATAATTATATTAAAACATGTCACTTTAGAAGAGAATTAAAAAAAAAAAACTATGTGTGTTTTGTTCTTTATTGAATAAAAAACATATTATACCTTTTTGTTGAGCACTGCTTATACAATGATTTATATATAAAAATAAAGAAATTAACAACTCTGCATTATTTCCATAAGAACTTTATTGCTGGACGGAATGCATCTAGACTTACATTTGATCTGATGCATTATTTTCGAATGTCCAACTGATTTGATAGTGCTGGTGATTCATGTGTGATCTTCTCATCTTGTTGGACTATCTTTTTTATTTGAATTGTTGACACCAAGTCTTCTTGACTACTCAAATTTTCTCTACTGATTTTGAGATAATTTTGAGTATTTTCAACCTTATCACTCCAAGATTTCTAGGTCTCCTTATCACTCCTTTAATGCCCAAAGATTTTGTTTCCAAGATATAAAATATTGTTAACACCCTCCTGCAAACTGTGCCGGGGCTAAAGGCACATTTGATCCAAAAGAAATTGAGAGTTGCTCTTGACATTGGTTTGGTGAAGAGGTCAACAACTTGGTGACTGGTAGAAATATGTCGAGTGATAAGCTAACCGAGGGCAACGCGTTCACGCACAAAATGATAATCCATCTCGATGTGTTTACTACGAGCATGAAAAACCAGATTAATAGTCATATGTAAAGCACTAAGATTGTCACAGTATAAAATTGAAGGAGTAGACATTGAAATTTTGAGATCTCGCAAAATGAATGTTAACCATGTCAATTCAGCTGCAATATGCACCATGGCTCGATACTCCGCTTCAGTATTGGAGTGGAAGACAATATGTTGTTTCTTTGCACACCAAGAGATGAGATTTTGCCCAAGGAAAGTGCAATAACTTTGGTGGAGTGTCTGGTAGTAGGACATCCCACCAATCGGCATTTGAAAATGCACATAGATCAAGTGTAGTATTTGAAGAAAAATGTAATCCCAAGTGAATAGTCTTTTACATATCGAAGAATACGTCCAACCAATTTTAAATGAACTATGGTGGGAGCATGCATAAATTGAGATATATAATTAACACTAAATGTGAGATCTGGACGTGTAAGGTTGAGATACTATAGTGCTCCAACAATGCTTCTAAAATAGCCTTGGTCTTCCAGAAGTGTGTCCTCATGTGAATATTTCGTTTTTGCTTCTAAAGGTGTACTCAAAGGCTTACAGTCAACCATGTATGTTTTCTTAAGTATGGTAAGAGCATAATGGGTTTGAGAAAGATGCAGAGCATCAGGTGTTTGAGAAATTTCAATGCCAAGAAAATGATGGATAGGCCCTAAGTCTTTCATTGCTAACTCGCTGCTAAGAAGCTGAATGAAGGAGACAACAAGCTCATCAGTTAATCCTGTAAGAAGCATATCATCCACATAAAGAAGCAAAATTAGTGAACCATGATTAGAATGACAAATAAACAGAGATGGATCGACTAAACTGCAAAAAAAAAAAAAAAAAAAAAAAAAATCTATATTGAAGAAGAAAGGAACTAAAGCGACCAAACCAAGCACAAGGCACCTGTTTTAGCCCATAGACAGCTCATTAGAGTTTACAAACATAAGTTGGATGTTGCGGATCAGACAATCCTGATGGTTGTGCCACATAAATTTCTTCAGAAATAACATCAAGCAAAAAAACATTATTGACATCGAGTTGCCGAATGGACCATTGCCAAACAAAAGCCATTAATAGAACCAATCATATAGTCCCTAGCTTGATGACTAGAGAAAACTTTTCAGTGTAGTCGATTCTGTCAATTTGATGATTCCCTTGTGCAACTAAATGGGCCTTGAGATGATCTAGTTACCTATCAATTTGAGTTTTGACTTGAACACCCAATGTGAACCGATAACATACATAGACGCTAACCGTGGAACAAGTTGCCAAGTCCAATTTTTTTGTAATGCTGCAAGCTCTTCTTCCATAGCAGCTTTCTAGCCGGGATGAGCCAATGTTAATCGTATGTTATGAGGCTCCCGAGGAACCACTGAAGACATAACTGTCATTGCATACTTTGGATTAGGTTTAATGACACCAAGTCGAGAGTGAGTGACCATGGAATGAGAAGGTTACACAACTTTATTATTCTACAGGAACTCGTGAATTGTAAAGACGAGACATTTGATAAGGGCAGGTCTATAAGATCATTGAAAGAAGGCATTGTTGGATTGGTTTCTGTAGGTGGAATGATTGAAGAAGGTGGACTGGAGATAGGAGTCAGTTCTGATACATTGGAGTGGGGTTAGAACTTTCACCATTTAGTATGTTTGAAGTGAAAGGTACAACAGAAGGTAAAAGACTTAAGCAAGGTGGCCTAGAAGATGTTGTACTTGCAAAAGAATCAATGTTAGGTTTCGAAAGCCAAGTGTCAAAAATACTAATAAAGTGAGATGAATCAGAAGTGAGTGTTGTCAAACAAGAGGTCTTATAAGGAAAAACCAATTCATCAAAAACAACATGATGAGAAACAAAAAATTTTCTGTTAGAAGGATGAAAACACCTATATCCTTTATATGAATCATTGTAGCTAAAAAAAATACACGGAATAGATTTAGGATCAAGCTTATGATGGCGTGGGTCCTATGTCTAAGAAAAACATTTAAAACAGAAAACTTAATTAAAGAATACACAGGATGAGTTCCATGCAATAAAAAAAATGGAGTTTCAAAATTAATCGTCGATGATGGTAACCAATTGATTAGATTAACAGCTATAGTGAAAGCTTCTACCCACAGAAATAAGGGAACACCACCATGAAAAAGCATGGTCATTCCTAATTCTCGAATAATTCTATGATGTCATTCAACTATACCTGTCTACTTAGGAGTATAAGGATAGGATATTTGATTAATTATCCCTACGTATATTTAGAAAAATCATCTAAAAAACAAGCATAATATTTAAATTTTGCAATAGATAAAACTGAAGTAGGATCCCACAAATCACAATCAATTTTATCAAAAATAGTAGTACTTGAATGTGTGGAACAAGAAAACGGTAATTTGCTATGCTTTCCTAATTAACAACTATCACAAAGATGTTTTAGTAGCTCCTACAACTTCAATTAACCTTTATTTTTTAATAACTATAATGCTGAAGACTATGGATGTCCTAAATGTTGATTTCAAATTTCTGTTGAGCCTGACTTAAAATGATGAGAGAAATGCAATGTCGATGTGTTGGAGAGAACATAGAGATCACCCTTGTGTCTCCCTTTTATCATCAGTTGTCCTATTTTTCGTTCCTTAACACAAAAATCAACATCAGAAAATTCACAATTTATAGGAAATTCAGTAGCAAATTGGCTCATAGATAGTAAATTCTTAGTTAAATTCAACACTAATAGAACATTTTGAAGAGGTAAAGTAGCTGCATTTTGTTTTATATTTGTATCACTAACTCCAATAATAAGCAATGGAGATCCGTCTCCAATAATTACTGAATTAGATCCTAAATAATTGCAAATATTAGAGAATATATCTAACTTACCTATCATGTGATTAGAAGCTCCATGTTAGATGTCCACTCTATATAAAAAATAGCGCTGTCTAAGGTAAGAGCTACAAGAGCCTGAGGAATCTCCCCATTCTAATGAGACTTTTTAGGTATCCACAGTAGATCTTGGCAATATGACCCACTGGCATTGTTCTTCACGATATAGATTTTTTCAACTGAAGTCATGCAACGTTCACTTGGTGGTGGAGGATGACGTTGTTAAGCGGAAGAAGTAGGGTTATCTAAGAAATTCTTGTTTTGGTTCTTTGGTTGTTGTGCTTGGAATCCACATCCAATGGATGTGAATTGCTATGAGTTGCCACGGTATCCTAAGAAAGGTTGTTGTATGTGCTGTTGTTGTTGGCCATAGACTGCCAAATGAGGAGTGAATTGTGAAGTTGGCACATCCTCATAACTAGAGAACCAATTGCGTTACTGATCAAAGTTATGAACTTGTGAGACCAATTCAAAGTATGATGGCCATGAAGGCTTCAACATGGTAGTTGTGAAGGTTTGATACTGAGGGTAAGACTATGAGAAGGCAAAAAACTTTTTCTTTGTCAGGAACAGGTTTCCCAATGGCTGCAAGGTTGTCACATAGTCCTTTGAAGGTACGAAGGTGTTCCCTAATGATTTTGTCATCTTCTTTGCATAGATATGTTACCTATTGACGTAGTGTGAATTCATGTTCTTGCGAATCTTGAGCATATTCATTTTTTAGTGCTTCCCATACTACATGGGTTGTGTCTAAGCCAACAACGAGTCTAAGAGTTTCTTTAGAAAGTGTTCCAATGACCCACCGACGAAGAAGACAATCAAACTTTTGCCTGGCAATGAAGTTATCTGTTAGTTTTGGTATAAAGTTTTCCGCATCTATGGTGTTGGTTGGTCAAGTGTAGTGTATTTGGTGGCAATAAGGTCTTCGTTAGTGAGATGGCCAACCAATTCTTGGCTTTCTACAAGAGCCATGGCGTGTTCACGCCACAAGGGATAATTGTTTTGAGATATGAGTTTGATTGTGATGAAGTTGCCAACATTAAGAGATAATGAAGTCATAGTGGAAGAGAAGAATGTGTTGTGTTGTGTTGTGACGAGTGCTCACAATAGCTCTAATACCAAGAAAAGAATTTAAAAAAGAAAAACTTTGTGTTTTTGTTCTTTATTGAAGAAAAAACATATTACACCCTTTTTTTGAGCATTGCTTATACACTAATTTATATATAAAAATAAAGAAATTAACAACTTTGCATTATTTCCATAAGAACTATAGTAAAACCTCTCTATAGTCATAATGGTGGGACTAATTAATTTTATTACTATGAGGAGGTTATAATTTAATTGAGGTGTACTTACTAAAATTTCTTATTTTATAATTCATGTTTTAGTAGTACAATATTAGGATTTCAATTTAGCGCTTCAATTTCCTACTTTTTAAACGAATAGAATATCGTGTTTTAGAATTGACAAAGATAAGTGTCTTTGACGGAATTGCAAATACAGTTGTTGAATGGTTAAATTGATGTGAAGCCATAGACAATTGTTAATTAATTTAAGCATTATAAAATTAAGACCCCTGATGTCAATAAATTGCAAGTTATAAATAAAGTGGATGAGAAAAATCAAAGAGTCATTGTAGAATTGAGTGATCAGATTTGACAACTTCGCTACACTAATCGAATAGATATTAATATCTTCCTTAATCATTCAAATAAGCAACAAGTCATATATGCTTTAACTGAAGTAGAAATCATTACTAGAATTACACAAGAAGAGAAATGAAATAATCATGAGGATAATAGTACGGCGAAAAGTTGTGGCAAAAAACTCCAAACATGCTTGAGAAGCTATAAATATTTTTGCTTCAACAAGAAGATGTCCATGCTAGCGTGTAATATACTTGCAAGTTAAAAAAGTATAAATCATTCTCCCAATTAACTTTAGGTAAATATTTTATTTCATCTTAAACCTATAATATAACAAATAATATTTTTTTTTTTTTTTGTAGCATACGCATAATTATTACTATGTAGAGGTAACATTCCTTAAGATGAGAATTAGAAAAATTATAACTTATTACAATGTGGAGTTTATTCTTATTTATAACTATCTGAAGTTGGGAATATAATTTTTTATGACTATGTAGAGTTTATTCTTATATAGTATCACTATAGAGAAGTTTTACTGTATATTGTTGGACGGATTGCACCTGGACTTGAATTTGATCTAATCATTATTTTAGAATGTCCGATTGATCCCATGGTGCTAGTGTTTCATGCGTGATCTTCTCATCTTGTTGGACTATTTTTTTAGTTTGAATTCTTTGACCGCAAGTCTTCTTGATCACTCAAATTTCCTTTACTAATTTTGAGATTATTGTGAGGATTTGCAACCTTATCACTCCAAGATTTTTCAACCTTATCACTCCAAGATTTCTGGGCCTCCTTCCTTTGATCCTCAATGATTTTGTTGCCAAGCTGGAAGATATTGCTAACAAGTTTTTATCAAAGATTTTGTATAAAAATCTTGTATATAAAGTATTATCCAAAAAAAAAAAAAAAATGTATGGTACAATTTAAGCTCTCTTTACTCAATAAATACCATTGAAAAAAAAACAACCTGTCTTTACCCTAATCGGGAATTTAAGGTCAAACATAACCTTTATTAAAAATAATTTTTTGATTAATCAATTTAATTATAAAATACATCCACTTAACAATTTTTTTCGGTAAATGGTAAATTATAAAGAATGAACAAATGAGACCCAAGAGGGAGTCTCGCAAGAGTCTATGAGCCTGGCAAAACCAGGACCCTGCAAAAATCGGCAGCAGCAAGAGAAGGATTTACAATCCTATATACCAGCGAATGTCTCGCAGAAGTCTAACAAGCAGGCCAGCAGCACAAAAAGGCAGGCCTTACGACAAACAAAAGAAACAGCTGCAAAGATATGCAAAGAAGAAATAAAAAGTTATGCAAAAGGTTTTGAGAGTTGCTGAATTCTATTTCTTTTTCATCTAGTTCTTTTTAGCTGATATTACATTCATTTTGGTTTCTAATTCTATTAGTCTTTCGTCAACTTGTTTGTATATTATTTTTTATTGATTCTGGTGTCTGGTTGTAGATCTTCAACCGATATTTGATTTAACGTATTAAGGGCAGACTGTGGTTTATGTAAGATACTAAGATGAATGTTAAGAGTAAAATAGTTTTTGTTTCTTATCAATGGTAAATTGTATCATATCTTAGGTATTTTTTTATGGAATTTTATTTTTTATAGCAGGACCTTTAAAACAATTATAAAATCGTTCAAAACTGAGTCTAGATTCTATAAAATAAGGATTAACATAAAAATAATGATGGATATGGAATCCCCCCACCAAGCACATAGATGAGTACTTTACAGAATTCTCACTTCCATGAAAATTTCAGTAAT